GTGTGTGTACATATATTCTATATTGATAAATTAACTCACAACAACGACGGGGCAGGGGTCTGTTGAGTATCGGTAGAGCACTGCCTGCCACCTGAATGATTGGTCGTAGATATTGCTTCGCTATTGTTGTTGTGTGTGTATTCTTGGATGCTATTGATGATTCTTGGCCTCTGTTCCAAAAAATATCGATCAGATCTCCAATTACACACTTTCCCAAATTTCTCCACTAATAGTCTTGCTAATTCAATTGACATGCGTACCTTTATTCCCGAATCAGGCTCTAATTTGGGCTGTTGGGTTATAGGGTTTTAAGGTTTTAGAATTTTAGGGTCTCTATGGTGTGGTATTGGATACTTACCGTATGCTACTGCTGATGCGATCGGTTAAGAATGGGATGAATCGTTTGAGCGCAATCTGCGGCTGTGCCGTGACCAGTGCCTCGCACATGTAACCGATGGGTTTCATGGCCTTCATCACCAGACTGCTAGTCACATACCTGTCCATAAAAAAGGATTGTTTAAGGGTTTGGGGGCTACTATTAACCCAAAATTAACGTGTGTAATTCGGGAGTGGGAGACTGCTTGTCACATACCTGTCCACAAAAACAAAGATTGTTTAAGGGTTTTGGGGCTTTTATAAACCCAAAATTATAGTGTGTAATTCGGGAGTGGGAGACTGCTTTTCACATACCTATACGCAAAAAAAGGATAATTTAAAGGTTTTGGGGCTATCATTTACCCCAAACTAAGGTGTGTAATTCGGGTGTGAGATTCACAGTTGGAGCTGGAGGCTTAGTGAATGAGTATAATGCCTTTACCACCAGACAGCTCGCCACGTACCGGTTTACAACCGAGGTTTGCATTCCGGGACTAAGTTATAGAGGTCAGAGTCGAAGGTTTAAGTACCGTGTCTGGTGGCCTCCGTCACATATCCCAAACAGTTGCGAAGTGCTGGTGCGCCTGTACGCGACTGTTCCACACAGCTAACACTCACACGACGATGCCATGATACTACGCATGCAGGTTTAGGGTATAGGGTATAGGGTTTCAGGTTTAAGGCTTAAGGTTTTAATTGTGCGACTTCTATTATGCTCACAGTGCATATCCCTCACAGGACACTGTTCTTTAGGTTTTAATGTGCTACTGAGATGTCGGACTATGAGCGAGACACAATACCAATATACACATGTGAACAAGTAGCAACCCTAAAACCCTAAATCCTAAAACCAGAGCAACGCAATCCGGACACGTGCATGTGAGAACGCAGAACATACAAAGACACAACCTGGCCACTCACAAGTGTAATTGAAGGGCAAGCGCACACACAACACATTCAAAATATATTCTAACGCACATGCACACTACAAACCACACAGGCGACCCTCACAGCACAACCCACACATATCCCCATGCGCAAACACCTCCACACTTGAGAAGGCCTATACCACCACCTATAATACTTCGTTCCCTAAACCCTAAACCCCTCTGGCGAGCCAGGATATTACAAATACATCAATAGTGTGGTGTGGTATCGTCACAGTGTATGGCGCAACAATACCTAAAGACTCTGTCAAGGCACTCAGCGTAGATGTCTGGTGATAGCTGAGCGAAAAACACCAGACACAGATCTCTCAGCGATTGCGAGAAATTCGCCTCAATCTGAGCTGTGGCTGTCTTTTGCGATGACTTGGCAGGCGCTGAGTGATGACTACACACCTGTGCCATGAAACATGCACCAAAATAATCAGTAAGAAGCTGAAACCCTAAAACCCTACAACCTTTAAACCCTCGATGCCACTGGCACACCGCATTAACGATCGAGATTAAGATTGTTGGCCTACATCAGAACATATATATGTATAT